CATGGAGCTGGTTAGGTGGTTAATAAGGAGACGCTGAAATTACTGACACATAAACGCTCATGGTTTGTGATAAGTTCACAGAGAGAGAGAGAGAGAGAGAGAGAGAGAGAGAGAGAGAGAGAGAGAGAGAGAGAGAGAGAGAGAGAGACATATTCAGCACAAGCAGGCAGACATATTTACACACATTCAGAGAGAGAAAGAGAGAGAGAGAGAGAGAGATAGATAGATAGAGAGAGAGAGAGAGAGAGAGAGAGAGAGAGAGAGAGAGAGAGAGAGAGCCATATGCAGCACAAGCAGGCAGACATATTTACACACTGTCAGGATGAGACAGTCATACAAATCGAAAGCCTGCTTGTAAGTCTACCAGGCAGGCAACAAGATAGATAGACAGAAACTAAGTCAGTCAGACGGTCAGACAGAGAGAAAGGCGAACAGAGGGACAGAATAATAGAGTGACAGATCGGTGGCTGGGTGGGTGCCTGGGTAAGTGGCTTCCTGGTATCGATGCAGATTTGTGTCTTCCAAATTTACTTTGGCTCCCAGGTTGACACAACCTAAAATTGGTGTCGGGTAATTTATGGGAAATAAAGGTGGCCATCCTTATGTTGGTCATATCACCCACCGTATGGTGGCCAATTAGACTATACAAATACATATGCACGTTTCGCCATGGGCGTAAAAGAAGGTCTTTTACCTGTTACTTACTTACTGCACACAAATATAATATGACAGTCCTTTATTTGTTACTTACTTAGTGTACACAAATATAAAATGAGAGTGCCTTACTTGTTACTTAGTGCTCACAAATATAATATGACAGTCCTTTACTTGTTACTTACTGCACACAAATATAAAATGAGAGTGCCTTACTTGTTAGTGCACACAAATATAATATGACAGTCCTTTACTTGTTACTTACTTAGTGCACACAAATATAATATGACAGTCCTTTACTTGTTACTTAGTGCACACAAATATAATATGACAGTCCTTTATTTGTTACTTAATTAGTGCACACAAATATAATATGACAGTCCTTTACTTGTTACTTACTTAGTGCACACAAATATAATATGACAGTCCTTTACTTGTTACTTACTAAGTGCACACAAATATAATATGACAGTCCTTTACTTGTTACTTACTACACACAAATATAATATGACAGTCCTTTACTTGTTACTTACTTAGTGCACAATAATATGACAGTCCTTTACTTGTTACTTATTTAGTGCACAATAATATGACAGTCCTTTACTTGTTACTTACTGCACACAAATATAATATGACAGTCCTTTACTTGTTACTTAGAGAGAGAGAACAGACAAACAGTGCTGAGAGAGACAGCAAGAGAGAGAAAATAGACAGAAAGCTGAGAGAGAGAGAAAACAGACAGAGTGCTGAGTGTGAGAGAGAGAGAGGGAATAGACAAACAGGGAGCTGAGAGAGAGAAAAATAGAGTGCTGAGAGAGAGAGAAAATAGAAAGAGTGCTGAGAGGGAGAGAATAGACAAACAGGGGGCTGAGGAGAGAGTGAGAGAAAATAGACATAGTGCTAAGAAAGAGAGAGAAAATAGACAGAGTGCTGAGAGAGAGAATAAGCAGAGGGCTGAGAGAGAGAGAGATAGAAATATAGTGCTAAGAGAGAGAATAGACAAACAGTGCTGAGAGAGAGAGAGAGAGAATAGACAAACTGAGTGCTGAGAGAGAGAGAAAATATACAGAGTGCTGAGAGAGAGAGCGAGAGAGAGAGAGAATAGACAAACCGAGTGCCGAGAGAGAGAGAAAATATACAGTGCTGAGAGAGAGAGAGAATAGACAAACCGAGTGCCGAGAGAGAGAGAAAATATGCAGAGTGCTGAGAGAGAGAGAGAGAGAGAGAGAGAGAGAAAATAGACAGAGTGCTGAAAGAGAGAGAGAGAGAGAGAGAGAGAGAGAGAGAGAGAGAGAAAATATACAGAGTGCTGAGAGAGAGAGCGAGAGAGAGAGAGAGAATAGACAAACCGAGTGCCGAGAGAGAGAGAAAACATAGAGAGTGCTGAGAGAGATAGAGAGAGAGAGAGAGAGAGAGAGAGAGAGAGAGAGAGAAAATAGACAGAGTGCTGAAAGAGAGAGAGAGAGAATATACAGAGTGCTGAGAGAGAGAGAGAACAGAGTGCTGAGATAGAAAATAGACAGAGTGCTGAGAGAGAGAGAATAGACAGAGTGCTGAGAGAGAGAGAAAAAATAGACAAAGTGCTGAGAGAGAGAGAGAGAGAATAGACAAATCGAATGCTGAGAGACAGAGAAAATTTACCGAGTGCTGAGAGAAAAAATAGACAAACAGAGTGCTGAGAGAGAGAGAAAGGGAATAGACAAACAGAGTGCTGAGAGAGGAAAAATAGACAGAGTGCTGAGAGAGAGAGAAAATAGAGTGCTGAGAGAGAGAATAGACAAACAGAAAGCTGTGAGAGAGACATAAAATAGACAGAGTGCTGAGTGAGAGAGAGAGAGGGGGGAATAGTCAAACAGGGGGCTGAGAGAGAGAGAGAGAGGGGGAAATAGACAAACAGGGGGCTGAGAGAGAGAGAGAAAATAGAGTGCTGAGAGAGGGAGAGAATAGACAAACAGAGGACTGAGACGGAGAAAAAGAAATATGAAACAATGAAAAGAGACTGAATAATCTTTCAAATTGTTTAAAAATAATACAATAAACAAAAGATTTTTAAAAAGTCGTTCTAAATTTAAAAATAGGTCTGTCTACACTTGCTTTTATGATCTACATGTACGAAACACACAAATGAGCCATTATGCCCATCAGGTGGTACTTTTGCAACATCATTGCTTTGAAATGTTCTACAAACTTATATATTGGTCCTGAACAGATGTGGTGACAATAAAACCATGACAGCTTCAGCTGTGACAATTATCTCCCGCCATCCCTTTGTGGGATGCAATTTTTGGTTATTTGAAGCCCTACTCTAGCTCTTGCCAGGGGCCGCAATATTGCCCGGCCATAAATATGGTCTAATGGCTGAACACGGTTTCTGGGACCTCTCCACAGGTGATCTTCAACCACATGGTGGCACTTTGTGTCATCGGATGTTTATCGCTTGTGCGGTGTCCTGGTGGGGTAAAAGAAGATAGATAGATAGCTGTGACAAAGTCATTCACAAATAAAGGAAGCAACGAACCGGTGTACTATAACGGATATTTGTCACAGTAATTACCACAGACCAGCATCAGAAGGAGATAATCTACATCTACATGGTTGATGTGACATACTGGCGATCAAGAAATGATACGTTGAGAAAACCTGATGACAGTATAACTAGAAGGACTTTACACTGGAACTCACAGGGCAGAGAATAAAGGTTAAGAGCCTGTACGCCACTGGGGGATAAGGGGCAGACAAACAAAAAAAGAGGAAACAGAAATCAGGCACTGTTATCTTGCTTCCCTGCCAGGACTGGACACTATGGAGCAGAAGGGGATAAGGTAAATATTGGTTTGGTGTTAGTTAAGTTAGTTAGACAGTCACTCAGTTACTTAATCAAAAGATTATCCTTCCATTGCTTTTCCTGTACTTACTGTGGCCCTGCCAGCAAACCACTCCGCTCTTTCATTCCCTCTTATTCGAGAATATTTTGTTTGATAAGGGTGTGTAAAAAAAACATTAGGAATAATTTTTTTTTATAAAGAGTTTGGAAAAGTGCTAATGCCAGCTAAAATGAACAAGTGTATGGTAAGCTGCTTAGTTAAAAATGAGTTAACTCATTCAGTACTAAAAAATACTAACCATGTGATTATGGTTCTCCATACTAGGCATGCTTTTCTTAACCCTTGATGTCTTAACAGTTTATTACACAAAGGTGATAATCCTAATTGTTATTTTAACATTTTTCTAGGCATAGGGTCAGTACCCCACCCTGTAAAATATCTGCTACACAAACATTCACAGGACAGAACATTCATGGGACAGAACATTCACAGGGCAAAACATTCACAGGGCAGAACATTTATGGGACAGAACATTCACAGAGCAGAACATTTATGGGACAGAACATTCATGGGACAGAACATTCACAGAGCAGAACATTTATGGGACAGAACATTCACAGGACAGAACATTTACAGGACAGAACATTTACAGTGCAGAACATTCACAGGGCGGAACATTCACAGGGCAGAACATTCACAAGGCAGAACATTCACAAGGCAGAACATTCACAAGGCAGAACATTTACAGGACAGAATACTCACAGGACAAAACACAGCACCGAACATTTACAGCACAGAACATTCACAGGACAGAATACTCACAGGACAAAACACAGCACCGAACATTTACAGCACAGAACATTCACAGGACAGAATACTCACAGGACAGAACATTCACAGGACAGAATACTCACAGGACAGAACATTCACAGGACAGAATACTCACAGGACAGTTAACACACAGAAAATGACAAAAATGTAGAGGAATGTGTCCCATTTGGAGGATGGTGAATAGCAGAGTCACTAAGGACATCATCTATGCTGAATTACAAATGGCTAGAAGATGTTTTTTTTTTTAAACTACAAAACAAATGTGTCCAAGTGGGACATGAACGATACTGGTATTGAGGTGGATTCTGGAGAACAAAATGCTATGGACTTTGGCATGGAGGGGAAATTTCATGAAACTGGTCTATAAAATATAGGTCTAGCCCTATATGCCCAATGCACCTTAAGGTGTGGAAAAGGGTCCTTTACTTTATTAATTGTGGAAGACTTTTCTGTACATGAGCAGGTCTTTTTAGTCACACTTGCAGTTGTCATGGGCTGTGAATCCCATGCTTGCCTATATCACAACACAACACTATTGTCTGGAAAGATAGTAATGTGCAAACAACAACCACACTGAATAACATAAAAAGTTGGATTTTTATTCATTTCATTTGCATTATACAAGATTAAGAAGCAACAAATAAATATTGTTTTCAATGAAGACCAGCTCCTGAAAACTACGAACCAAATTCAGGCAACACTCCCCTCCACATCAGAGAGTCTTCGGATTATCAGGACACCATCTCGAATGGGAACTAAAACCTAGAGAATAAATTGATGTAACAAGAAACTTTCAGAGTAAAACACTCAGAGCTTGATATGAAAAAAATAGAAACTGGTGTCCGGGTGTAGAGTGGCTTGCATCACTTAAAAAAATTAAAATGTATCCTTTCAAATTTATTTCTGTTTGTATTAAAGAAAACAATAACAGAATTTTAGGTTCATTTTACATTTTTCACACCAGAATGAGTGTGACTTCCCTTGCCATTCATGCCTTGTCGGGTCGCAGGACCTCTCCTATGTTGCAGGCGTGTTATCACATGGCTTGGTTTTAGCATTTGGCTCAGTGTATAAAATGTTTGTGGAAGGTTGTGTTGTTCGTGTGTCTATTTTAGGCACCGCAGGCACCTGTGTAAAAGTAAGAAGTATTGCATGGTGAAGCGCTGCTGGCGTGACAATTCTTAAGTATCCAAACTAGGATGTTTTTGTATTTCTACACTGGTTGGCTATGGCTTCCCCCAGAGAAAAAGAAAGCACTTACAAGGAACGTAGGAATAAAAAAATATTGCTGTTTCTATAGTTCCATAGTCCTGACCCGTCGCACAGGTAGCAGAACATAAAAATAATCACGCAAGCGAGCAGTGTGAAGACAAGAAAAGAGGGAACAGTTAAAGCATTGACAATAAGTAAAACATGACATCCCTGCAACATAGGAGAGGTCCTGCAACTTGATGAGGCATGAATGGCAAGGGAAGTCACTCTCTGGGCGGTGATGTCTAAAATGAACTGAATTTTAATGTAACCTACTGTTTTCTTCTCATTTTTATACATTTTATTTACTAATTCTGTTGTCTGCTACCTTTCCCTCATCATTTCCTAATTTCTCCTTTACAGTAACTTCTTCTTCTTCTTTGTGTTCACCAGCTGTACACTCTGGCGTAAAGTTCTGGTTGTTCGTCCACTTCTGGACTGCAGTCATGCTCCAGAACCTGAGTGTTGCATGTGCATCAGTTTTACAGATCTGATTCAAATGAATGCAGACTGCTGGTTCCTTGCCTCTCAGGCAGATGCATTCCGACTTCAAAGGAAGCTCCCCAGTTAGTCGACTCTTACGACATGCTTTTGGGGAGGCAGTGGGTCTATTCTTGTTTTCCCCACAATAGGGCCCCGGAACCCACACGGGGGTTTACAGTAACTGTAAAGAACATGTGTAAAATGTGTGAGCAAGCAACTGGGTGTGGATCCGACAAGGAGGGATGTATGAGAAGAAGAGAATGTTGTGTGCATAATGAGTGTGCTACGGGAACAGTTAGCATCTACACCTTGAGACTTTTGCTGCAGGAGACAGAGTATGTATTGGTATGCCTGGTTAGCAATGATGTCGAGTCTTTCATCAGTAATGAAATGAATCTTACCTTGTGCAAGGATGCATCAGAGGAGACAAATTTAGCAAATTGTTTGGAGGGGGTGTCTCCAAGGGCAGGAATGTACGCCTCTCCTCGTCTGAACGCATTGTCGACAAGCACAGTCCCTCCTGTGCCAAGCAAACCACCCTCAAAGATAATCTACAGAAGTGAATCAAATTTGGAAAAATGTGAACACTTTATGAATGAGAGATCATGCTTTTAAATGAGGTAGGACATCTTACACAATGTTAAACTGAGTCTGGTTAAGAACCAACGAGACAGGACCCTAGATTTTTCTATAAGTGTGCCGTCCTTATCTGTGGTAGCAAATTCAGAGTTACTGTACTGATGGTGCCAGTAGCAGTATCATTATATATCCTCTTTGTGTAGGTTCTCCACTTTGTGGAGGTAAAAAAGACCCACTGCATCTCTCTGAGAGGTGAGCAGCAAACATTCTACATATAAAAAGGCCAGATCTGTAAAACAGATGTGTACGCAAAACTCAAAGTCTGGAACAAGACCAAAGTCCAAAAGTGAATAAACAATCAAAACTTTCCACCGAAGCATAAATCCAGTAAATGCTAAAAAGATTATATGTCTCTCTTCTTAGCTTTCCTATAAATAGTTAGTATCAGCCAGATCCTCTGGACATTAGACAATTAAAGCACTAAAGTGTTTTCTTCTCATGCCAGGAGTGTATGAGTAACTGGTACTAACCCTAAATTTCTAGACCCCCTGCCTTTATGTGTGGGTTCTGGGATCCTAATGCAACCAAGCATGTCATAAAAGGTGATTAATTTAGGACTTTCAGATTCACTAGAATTTTATTCTTTCCTAAAGCTCCACATTAGTGACTCTACCATATTATTTGATTCCCCCTATTCTGCACCTGCACCAGTTACTAAATGGTTGCAGTTTATCTGGAATTTGCCTTGTTGGTTTTTGATCCAGACACATTTTTGGAGTTGCAGGGGTGGTCAAACCTTCAGGTATCAGCCCGGAGAGAGACAAAATAGACAGACACTACAGCAGACTTATCTCTTGTCCAATCAACAGTAGCAACAAACATATACCTTGAAATATGCAGTGTACTCTGATTTGTCAGCATCCAGGAAGATAATGTCAAATTTCTCCTTGCGGTGAGACATCTCTAATAAAACTTCTCTAGCTTTTCCTAAGAAAACGGAATAGGAAACTATAACAATTAGTAAATGAGAATTCAAAATAACAAAAAAACAATAATGAATGCTATAAATCACTGTCACGCGACAGTGAAGTTTATACTAGAAACAACACTGCAGATTTGGATAATTTATTTCAAGTGAACAAAAGAAGAAGAAGAAAAAGAACTGTCACACAAAGTCTTGAGAAAAATGTGCAGCATTGTTTATGAATCTAATAACCAATACAATAGGCCACACAAGTTCTCAGTAAGATGGTTAAAACCATGTTGAACAATCCAAGAATTAAACAGAAAGAACAAAACAAAAACACATACCTGGAAAAATCAAATTACCAAGTCAAACAAATTCAGAGAAAATTAAATGACTATAAAAACCTGAAAACGCTGAATGATAACTAAAGTAAGAAGATCAGCTGATACAATAATCAGTACGACCTGATTTACTGCAGTGACATTTTGCATTTTCATTATATGAAATTCTACTAATCAGTTACAGAGTTTTAACAAATAACAAACCTGGGCCTTACCAATAACAATCTTGATTTTCTTGTGGTGGGGTGAAGACTTGATTAGATTCGTAACCAGAGGTTTCAAGTACTCTGTCATATCAACAGTTACCACTTCTCCATCAGCTGTAGCAGGGTTTCAGTAAACAAAACAAAAAGAAACAAAAACAGGAGTTTCATGATAAAAAGGTCAGGGGAAATATTAGTCTTCTATTAAATGTTCAGCTTTCTCTGAAAAAGTTACAGCAAATTTGTTATGATGTTGCAAATAAACCCAAGCCTTTTATTGGTTGAATGCCTAGCTGCATGTTGGTTGATAAACTCATTTTGCTGTTTAACTGTACCAGATGTACAAGTAGCATATTTTTTTTCCACTCACCTCTGTCAAAATCATCATCATCTAGCGCCATTATGACTGGCGTAGGCGACCATGCCTCTGACCTCTGGTGCAATTCAACAGCAAAGTGAGTTTAGCACCCAACAATGAGCTTATGCAGTGTTGTTGGAGCATAAAGAAGACAGGTGACCGTGTTCTATCCATGCCACATTCGGTGAAATAGCTAGCCTGACAATGTTTAAATTTGTTCTCAGTAGTTTGCCACAACCTTCGCACAAGCAATGCTCGAACCATTAACAAAATAACTGCAAATCAATCTGCTACCATACCTGTACCTAACCAGGTATGTCAGAATTCTGAAACTGTGTTCATAACCTCATACCACGGACAGCTACTTTTCCCAGTAAACCTTCAATGAAATGTTTCATTTATTTAGAAAATCATCGGTTAAATGTTCAATATTTTTATATAGAAATTTCACTGCATGCTTTTTGGCTGCAAATATGAAAATAAAATGTTGCCATTGACAGAAATATTTACAAATGCTAGAAATGTTTCTAGTGGTTGAAACCAATGCACATCAATAGTTCAAGTTCCCCGTGTGGGTTCCAGGGCTCTATTGTGGGGAAAACAAGAACAGATCAACTGCCTACCCAAAAGCATATCGTAGGAGTTGACTAATTAATTGGGAGCTTCCTGGGAAGTCAGAGTGCATTTGCCTGAGAGGAAAGGAACCAGCAGTCTGCATAAAAATAAGCCAGATCTGATTTTTAAAATGTACATGCCACACTTAGGTCCAGAGGTGGATGAACAACCAGACCTTTCTGCCAGAGTTTACAACAAGTGAATGCAAAAAATAAGAATAGTTGAAGTAATTTAAATCTTGGGAGCAATGGTGGCGTAGTGGCAAGATGCTTGCCTGCCGGCTAAAAAGCAGAGTCTGAATTTTTGACAAATGACACTGGCTAACAGGTTGAGCTGTTATAAAATAAGTTTCAGAAAATGTCCTGGGAAGAAAAAGTGGCCAGTGTGATGTTAACAAATATATGTGTCTAGCATCATGTGCTTATTATGACATTGGAATGAAAAGGTTTCTTTACTTACTTTACTTCATGTTAACATTACTAATGGATGAAATTAAAAATATTATTTTAACCCTTTCACCAAACGAAATATAGGGTAATGAGCCCATTGGAATTCCCCAAAAATCTGAATTAAAGGATCATTTTTACAGGTCACTAACACATTTTATTTTATGTATTTTTCTATATTTAGAATTGTTGCTGACAGCTTTCTTATGTATTTACTTTGCATGTGTGAGCTTCATGATTTTGTTGGGACTTATATGTTTTTCACTAGTTTTTTAATGGGTCGGTGAAGAATATTTTGTGTGATTTCCACTGCCACAGAAACGAAGCAGGTGTTAGGTGACACATCTGCAGTGAAATTGGAACCTTCACAAATGATTGTCATATCTGTAAAAAAAAAAAAAAAGTAGGCAAAAAGTTTCTAAGAAGGAGAGGACAACTGCTATACCTGGAAGAGCTTCTGCCATAGCAAGAGCACCATAACCAGTAAACATTCCAATCTCCAAAATCCGTTTGGCTTTCTGCATACTGACCAGTGACTTCAGAAACTGGCCTGGAAATACACAAGTAGGAAGTAATTTATCAATCAACATACACTTTGCCAGATTATGTAAACAATGTCCTTTCCCAGATGTAGAACCTGACTGTTCTGGGCAAGTTCAACTGATGATACTCATTGCTATTCTGGCCAGTTTGGACAAGCTACAAACAATGAACCACCAGCAAAATAAAAGTTTTAAAACAAAAAGGCAGTTTCTTTTGGCTTGGCATCTAATATTTGACTCTGGGGTCTTTAGGATACTAAAGTGACACTTGTGAGGTCCAAAGTAGTGCACAAACAAATAATACCACCATCATAGACTTTGCTAGCAGCATTTCTTTCAGTTTACCCTTGTCTTTTCTACAAATGATCTTTCCATGTCCTACCAATGGTCCTCTTCTCACCACATAACCAAAGAATAATGTCCTTTTTTTCTTTACATCTGTAGTGTTTCACTTTTTATCCTTTTCCCAAACAATTGTTTTAGTTACACCACCAGCCCAAAAATATTTCGCTAAATGTATTTCTAGAATAGTACAAATTCACTCCGGGTATGTCTAGAAAAGAGAAGACTCACTCTTGGTATGTCTAGAAAAGAGAAGAATCACTCTTGGTATTTCTAGAAAAGAGAAGAATCACTCATGGTATGTCTAGAAAAAAGAAGAATCACTCATGGTATGTCTCAAAAAGAGAAGACTCACTCATGGTATGTCTAGAAAAAAGAAGACTTACTCTTGGTAAGTCTAGAAAAGAGAAAACTCGCTCATGGTATGTCTAGAAAAGAGAAGACTCACTCTTTGTATGTCTAGAAAAGAGAAGACTCACTCTTTGTATGTCTAGAAAAAAGAAGAATCACTCTTGGTATGTCTCGAAATGAGAAGACTCACTCTTGGTATGTCTCAAAAAGAGAAGACTCACCCATGGTATGTCTCAAAAAGAGAAGACTCACTTATGGTATGTCTAGAAAAGAGAAGAATCACTCTTGGTATGTCTAGAAAAGAGAAGACTCACTCATGGTATGTCTAGAAAAAAGAAGACTCACTCATGGTATGTCTTAAAAAGAGAAGACTCACTCATGGTATGTCTAGAAAAGAGAAGAATCACTCTTTGTATGTCTAGAAAAGAGAAGACTCACTCTTGGTATGTCTAGAAAAGAGAAGACTCACTCTTTGTATGTCTAGAAAAGAGAATACTCACTCTTTGTATGTCTAGAAAAGAGAAGACTCACTCTATGTATGTCTAGAAAAAAGAAGACTCACTCTTTGTGTCTAGAAAAGAGAAGACTCACTCTTGGTATGTCTAGAAAAAAGAAGAATCACTCTTGGTATGTCTCGAAAAGAGAAGACTCACTCTTGGTATGTCACGAAAAGAGAAGACTCACTCATAGTATGTCTAGAAAAAAGAAGAATCACTCATGGTATGTCTAGAAAAGAGAAGACTTACTCTTGGTAAGTCTAGAAAAGAGAAGACTCACTCACGGTATGTCTAGAAAAGAGAAGACTCACTCTTAGTATGTCTAGAAAAGAGAAGACTCACTCTTTGTATGTCTAGAAAAGAGAAGACTCACTCTTTGTATGTCTAGAAAAGAGAAGACTCACTCTTTGTATGTCTAGAAAAGAGAAGACTCACTCTTGGTATGTCTAGAAAAAAGAAGAATCACTCTTGGTATATCTCGAAAAGAGAAGACTCACTCATGGTATGTCTAGAAAAGAGAAGAATCACTCTTGGTATGTCTAGAAAAGAGAAGACTCACTCTTGGTATGTCTAGAAAAGAGAAGACTCACTCTTTGTATGTCTAGAAAAGAGAAGACTCACTCTTTGTATGTCTAGAAAAGAGAAGACTCACTCTTTGTATGTCTAGAAAAAAGAAGACTCACTCTTTGTATGTCTAGAAAAGAGAAGACTCACTCTTGGTATGTCTAGAAAAAAGAAGAATCACTCTTGGTATGTCTCGAAAAGAGAAGACTCACTCTTGGTATGTCACGAAAAGAGAAGACTCACTCATAGTATGTCTAGAAAAAAGAAGAATCACTCACGGTATGTCTCAAAAAGAGAAGACTCACTCATGGTATGTCTAGAAAAGAGAAGACTTACTCTTGGTAAGTCTAGAAAAGAGAAGACTCACTCACGGTATGTCTAGAAAAGAGAAGACTCACTCTTTGTATGTCTAGAAAAGAGAAGACTCACTCTTTGTATGTCTAGAAAAGAGAAGACTCACTCTTTGTATGTCTAGAAAAGAGAAGACTCACTCTTGGTATGTCTAGAAAAAGGAAGAATCAGTCATGGTATGTCTTTATATAGTAACTTTCCCCTGTGTGGGATTGTGGGCTCCATTTTGGCGAACAAAGAATATACCGAATGTCTCCTTGAAAAGCCTGTCCTAAGAGGTCACTAATTACAGGTGTTTCCTTCACAGTCGCAATGCATCTGCCTGAGAGGCAAGAACCAATAGTCTGCATACAAATAAGCCCCATTTGTAACACTCAAGTTTTGGATCAAGACCAAAGTCCAGGAGTATGCTAACCGAGTGTCTGTGTTGACAAGATTTTACTGTAACTTGAATGTCTTTGCACTGAGGCTCATAGGGCCAAAGAATTAAGCGAGACTAACACAGCATGGAAAATGGAAATAGAGACTTAGATTCATGAAATGGGGAGACATGGTCTCAGCTGTATGAAAAGGCAAAAGATTAGATGACGCAGGAGCTGAGGGCCTACATGCCACTGGGTGATCAAATGCAGAAAAAGCACAAAGCAACTCCCTAACTGTACAGATCAACAACAGTCTACCTTCGAGTGGTCCAGACAACATGCCAGGACGCAGCTGCCACGCAGTCTTCCCTTCTTCATAAGCCTTTGTCCAGTCATGCCAAAGTGTCTCCTCCTGAATCTCCTTCAGGGTCTGGCTTTGTTTGCTTGTTGAAGTATGAGCAAATTCCTCTCGCTGGTCTGCCAAAGCCAGAGCTGACTGTAAAGTCTGTATAAGTTCAAGGCTAGCTCCAGAAGAGGTTGCCAGCTGTAGTGCCTTCTGAACTTCCAATATGGCAGGGTTGTAGTTACTTGATATATGCTTCCACATTGTACTTGTGTCTGACCAATGAAATGATCATCATCATGAAAGTTGATACAGATATATTTATAAGTGATGATTAATTATTCTTTCGGTTAAAGTTAGTTGCGTATCCTTTACAGGACATTGCAAACATACCTCTTGCCGACGACAAACAAATTTTTTCTAAACAACAAATTTAAAATTGTAACTGTTATACAGTCGGCGTCTCTTGCTTACGAGCTTCGTAATGCCGGGGTGCTGGGTTCGATCCCCGCTGCGGTTCTTGCGCCTTACGTTGCCACTACACTATGGCAAGTCAAAAATCGCATCATTATATCATGGCATACAAATTACAATTAAACCAAAGTTGAGCAATACAAAAGCGTCAGGCACTAATAGTACTGTACAATCGCATTCTCAAATTATATGAGAGAAAATGGAGAACTAAACATATCTCCACTTAACAGACTTCACAAACTATTTTAGAGTTAACATTACTAATATTAATAACGAATAAACCACACTGACTTAACATTTACTTTACTGCACATTCGTTTAATGTCATGTGTGTGAGCTAAAGACTTAACTTATGTTGTTTGTAGTTAAATAATTTTAGTTTAATTTACGTTACCGTAAAAGAATTTGCTAATTATGTCCTGATACTTACTAAATAAACGTTTATTTCGGGTAAGCAGCACAAGGTAAGCCGGTCGCAAAGATAAAACTGATTGTCCAGTGCTGCGAACAACAAGTCCCCACTTTCTCACTGAGATCCTAGTCAACATTTGTTCGTTGTGATAAAGTGACGGGTTCAAGGTTCAAGGGTGACACCGGGTCGCTGTATATTTGAAATGCCATGTGACCGTTGGTTAAACAAATTATGTTTTGTCTTGTTGAATAATGGTCTGGAAGCCGTGGCAGTGCCGTGACTGGCAGGTTTGTCAGTAGACACCGCGGTCAGGGGAATCTGTGAGCTCATGCACCTTCAGCCCCCACACCCCAATAAAAATTATAAAAAAAGCTCTGCCCCCCCCCCCCCAATTATATTGGGCCCCCTGTTTGTTTGTAATAGTATCCAGAAGCTATGAGTTGTTAACTCCTAGGCTCGGTATTATGGATATCGCAACCTTTCGGCCTTGATTCCATTGTAAATTCCGTAAATCTGGGAGAAATGTGGCTTTTCTGCCTACCCCTGGGAGTGAACCCGGACCACAAGGAGTTCGTCACCCGGGCACCGCGCAATCCGGTTTAGCCAACTACGCTAGAGAGCCGGGCATTGGGCCCCCCCCCCCCCCAAAGCATGTATAACAGTTGCGTATCCTTTACATGACATTGAAGAACCAACACCAGCATTTTTTAGCTGTTGTGGTTTTTCTAGGCAAATCTACGTTCAGTAGTTTGCCATTGCTTACTGTACGGTAGGCTTCTGATACCATTGTCGAAACCAACGCAAGGCGCAAGACCCGCAGCTGGGATCGAACCCGGCACCCCGGCATTACGAAGCTCGATCGCAACGCCTAAGCCACAGACGCCGACTGTATAAGGGATACATTTTAAAATTTTAGTTTTTGCACATACAGTTCAGGCCGCTTAAGACGATCTCGGATGTGGCAAATTTCTGTTGTGAAGAATAATTTGTTTATCATCGGCAATTTTTCTTGCTTTAATTCTTATCTGAATAAGAAAATGTTTGATAAGAACAACCATTTCTGGAGTCTCCGGAGAGTTCTCCTTATGAAAGAATGCACAAGAATTGACATCACTGCATTCGGGACCTTCCCACGCGTGATCCGTCTCCTTTTTCGGTAACCAAGATAATGAGTTAGTTCCAACACACTGAGATGTGTTCAAACCAGGTAATGATTTAGCTCCAACACACCATGATGTGTCCAAACCAGCTAATGATTTAGCTCCATCACACCGTGATGTGTCCAAACCAGGTAACGATTTAGCTCCAACACACTGAGATATGTCCAAATCAGGTAATGATTTAGCTCTAACAAACTGTGGTGTCTCCAAACCAGATAATGATTTAGCTCAAATAAACATTGATGTGTCCAAACCAGGTAATGATTTAACTCCAACACACTGTGATGTGTCCAAACCAGGTAACGATTTAGCTCCAACATACTGAGATGTCTCCAAGCAAGGTAATGATTTAGCTCCAACACACGCGGATGTGTCCGAACCTGGTAATGATTAAGCTCTAACACACACTGATGTGTCCAATTGATGTAATGACAGAGCTTTGACATGCTAAGCCATAAAACAGCTTTTTACACTTGTGGACTAAAGAATTTTAACTTGTTGTTTCACTACATGCCAAACACAGTTCTCAACATATTTAAAAGTCAACTTGGATTTTCATATTTTATTGTCAAACAATTGTAAAGTAATGCCCTTAGTGATAACATTATTTTTGTTAGTTTTTTTTTCCTCTTTTCCTAAATAAATATTCATATACCTTACAATAGTATGTAACAATTTTTCAGCAGCAAACATTTTTTTTTAAATGACTAAGACCCAAAAACACAACTCATCACAAACATCATAATGAGGCTATCATCATTTCTGGTCATATTTTAAGAGAAAGAAAAAGTGGAACATGTGACAACAGCAAAAATTATGGAAAGAGAGACAGAGGAAAACAAAGTGGGAACATTTTTGACAGCCTTTTGTCATGACATGGAAAGGTGTCAGTAAATGAACATGCTATGGAAATAGCAAAACATGGAAAAGTATGACTGCCTATGATACTCCACAAATGGAAAAGTATGACTGCCTATGATACTCCGCAGTGATACTCCGCCAGGCACCTGATAGTGATGCTGGTTAGTATTCCCCATGAGCCTTGAACTGTAGAGGTACAACACAGTGTTGATTCATCTACTTTAACTCCTTGGTTCTAGAAGTCTTTGCACCAGGTACCTAACTGAGGCCATTACCACAATGAACAAAAACCAATCACATGCAAATTGTTTCCATGGGAAATAAATATATACCTAATAGAGAGCATGAACAGCAACAACACGAAACTTAAGGTCTTCAATTCCTGTGTGATCCCAGTGCTAACTTATGGTTGTGAGAGTTGGAAATCATCAGTATCAATCGATAAGAAACTAGTCGCTTTCGAGAATAGATGCCTCCGAAAGCTATTGAATGTTCACTGGTCGGACTTTAGGTCCAATACATCTATAAGACAGGAAACAAAACAAAAATATGTGTCTGATTTTATTAGAAAGCGTCGCTGGAATTACATCGGTCACGTACTCAGAATGGACATACAGAGACTTCCCCACCAAGCCTTCGTATGGTCACCAGAGGGTAAAAGAAAACAGGGAAGACCAAAAGAAACTCTCCGTAGAACCATCACAAGGGAGAGCTCAACCATAGGTCTCAGTCGCACTCAAGACCTACATCAAGTGGCAAAGAACCGACAGACGTGGAAAGCTATGACCTCTGCCCTATGCGCCATCTTTGGCACAAGAGGAATAACTAACTAAGAGAGCATGAAAGAAAAGAGGTCATGTGAGAAATGAAGAAATTACATGAACTATTGGAACATAATCTACAATTAAATTCACTGAAAAACAAAGACTAAAATGGTCTGGCCGTTTTAATAAGAATGAACACAATGAATCCAGCAACGAGAACACGGAACATGAAAGTAGAAACACTAAGATGTAGTGGTCGACCAAGAAACAAATGGACTGAAGGAGTCACTAATAACCTGAGACTCCATCCTCTGACTCTCTAATTCTACAAGATTCAATCCCTGCAAGTCCAAGTCCTTCTAGAAAGAAAAAAACACAACCATATTCAACCTGCTGCTAGCTAGCTGAAGCTGCCAACAGTCTCCAGTTATATTTGTGGTCTGGTTTATTTGTGCTACTTCTCTGGCTTAATTCTTCTTTCCTCCAGGTCGGACCGCTCGATCCTTTCCTCTTTCTGAATCTGTTCCTCCTGCCCTGATGTTTATGGTGCTTTCCTTTTGGTTCAGGTTTCTTCTAATTTAGCCAGGCACATCTCACAAAAGAGTCAATCCCTGAAAGCCCAGAACAGTATTTAAGTGCTCCATCACTCTACCACCTAGAAATTCATCAGCAGCGTCATAAAAGAGAATTCTGATAAAACAACAAAATTCCTAAAACAGCACAACCAACAAATAAATCAATCCACAGTAAAGACTAAAACACCAAACTGTAATCAACTACAAAACAATACATTCACAAAGATACAACTCTGTCATTTACATTACACCTGTTTAGTTCAACGATTTCAAGAATATTTACGGAGACCCCTGGGGATCTTCACCAAAGCTATAGTGTTCGTGCTTTATGCAATGCTCTTGACAGGCAGCTAGCTGTTCTGCCGAGAGAGACTGAGCCAAGGGATAAAACCCGAAGCAATAAAGTAGATCCTCTTGACTTTAAGTAAGTATTGTTATGTTTTAATTCCGACTTTTTCTGTTTTCTCAGACTGTTATTCAATTCTACATTACTACAACAGTAACCTACATGAGATTGGACAGCATGTCTTCTTAGCTGACAAATGGCAGACAATTTAATCTGAGACAAAACAAATTATACTAATGAAAAAAGTCTACAAAAAATGTGGCTAATTTCTATGGGAATCTGTACATATTTAACATACTATGTCACAGCACATTGATTCAGACATATGAACTCCCTCTCAAAATTTTTATAGGTTTGTATATCTTTCAAATTTCTCATCAAACTTGCAACTTTTTCACTTCACATTTTGGTGCTAAACAATAATAATTTATAAATGCAGAAATGAGTATCATATACAGTATGTATGTTAACAACATTCAAGAATTCTGCCAACAGTGAGCTCATTTAGACGCTGCCCTCAACATCTGACACTCTTCGAATGATCAGAACACCATCTCGGATGGGAACCAGAACCTGAAATTAGATATTTACAAGGTTTTAAGAAAATCAACACAATAAGTGAAATCTGTTCCTACATGTGCTTCTCATCCGCACATATAAAGTTTTTTGTTCCTAATATTCTCTCCTTCAACATGGTGTGCAAAATACTTTGACTTTTTATATACAAAGCAAACACACCATGTTGTGTCCAAACCAGCTAATG